TGACACCAGGTTGTCACTAAACTTCTTCAGGAAGTAGTACTTGGCAGCTGCTGGAGACGTCGGATGAGCTTTGGGAACTTATGAGGGATGATGGCCAATGCCTTACAGGGTAGGACAGAAAAGGCTTCGGGATATCCTTGTGAACTTGGATCTTGGGCTTGCAACACTTCCTGCCAAGCCTCAAAGTCACAATGAAGATTACATCTTCATTACATGGGCAGATTACATCTCCGAACCATCAACTGTGAGGGTAGCAGTTGCGGATACATTCTGGATACTGCTCCTCAGCACGTTCAAGGCGGCAAGATGGTAACGCCCACACCTGTATCCGGTAATATGTAGCTGGGAGGACATTTTTCCATATACAACATGGAAACAGATGGGTCTGGGAGAGTTCCCATCTGGAGGTATGACATGAGATGAATTCAAGTATGCCTTAACTGTGTGTGTATGGGTGGGGTTGATGCTGGCAGGGCAGTAGCAGCACTCATCTTGGAGTGGCAGCACTTGTCATAATGACCTGTCTTTCTGCAGTACCTGCACTGGGCAGATTTGATGGGTACTTCTTCTTGGCCCAATGGCCCTTACACCCGCAGTTGGAACAAGTGGCTTTGATGGCAGGGCATTTGGAGGTGCCATTTTTACAGACACATGAGAAACAAGAATGGTCTGAAGATTGCTGTGATGCATAGTTTCCATTTTGGCCTGAAGTTAATGTTGTATGGGTTTTCTCCCTTTTTGTTAGCTTCTTGTAGGAAGAAACCACACATATCTGGCAGGGAGAGGCATGATTCCCTGATGCTGTTTTGGGTGACCTCATAGAGTCTGCAGTGGTTAACTACATCTGGCAGAGGAGCACTGGCAGCAAGGGGAAATCAGCCTTAATTAATTAAGCCACATGTCCCTGACACCCATGAAGATAACCATTTTAAACTGTGTCTCGACACACGTGACAGAGTGGCCTGGACAGATGTCAACTTCCTCAGCACAGCTCTTGAGCCTCACTTAAAAACTTTCAGTCGTTTCCCTCTACTTGATGGCAGCAAATGAGTTCCCGACGATGTAGTGCCTCGTTGCGTTGACTTTTGAAGAAGTCTTGGAGGTCATCAAGAACTTCGTCAACAGAGAGGTGTAGGGATTGATGCCTATGGTGTGTTCGAGGATTTGCTTGACTTCAAGGGATATTGACATCCATAACTAGATCAGTTGATTCTCTGGTAAAAGCTTGGAACTATCAATCATTGTGGAATAGTCCGACCAACGGCGTCGCCACTGCCTAAAAACCTGGTAACTGGCATCAGGTTCATAGGTTTGCTTGCAGATGGTGTAACTGTTCCCTGAGGAAGAGCCTGAGACACTGTGGACATCAGAGGCATCGTAGTCGGTGCCATGGTAAATGTACCCGATGCAGAAGCCTCAGGAATCTCATTAGTAGGAGTCAAACATGTTGCTGGGGTCGATGGCGGGACGTAGGGGGTGACTGTGGGGTCCAGTGAAGGCCTATGATGATCCTGAACTGGATAGGTATGCTCCTCTTCTCTTCATTTCAGTTTGTCTTGACGTTTTTCCTCGGCTCTGAATCCTGCAACGAGTCTGGTTTCCGCGAAACGTTGCAGCACGTAAAGGAAGTCAGGGCTAGGAGTTTCTGCACTCGTGTAATAGTAAGTTAAAAGCTGCATCCGTGGAGAGCAGAAAGAATGGCTGCATATGGTGTATCAGGCATCAACTGCAGGCTTGTAGGGTATCATTAGACTCGTCATGAAAGGGCAAATATTCTATATTGACAATCTGAGAGCTATGGCCAACACAGGAATTTACACCATCAAAGCAAAAGAACAGGTTTTATTGTAAAACTTACTGTTCAGTGGCACGGTATGTGGGTGCGTGGTTGTACGTTTGGCTGTGTATGGGTGATTAAGGGCAGGCTCGGCAATAAACGCCGAGACAATAACGGGAGTGGATGTGTTAGCATTGCTCTGCCTGGGGAGGGGTGAGGGGGTGCCTTCAAAGAGGGTACCTGGAAACACTGCACAACATTATTAACACTGCCTTTAGACGAAGCATGGTGCACTGAAACACCACACAATGCAGAGAACAGCTGATGATTCTGTGAATTGCAGGAGTAAAGATGGCGGCTGATGATGGGTACGACCAAGTTTGCCAATCTGTTGTCCCAGGGTTTTCACTGCGCCATGTGAGACTTCCAAACATTGTTATGAAGGTGGAAGTAAACACTGTAGGTTCACTTAACCCCTGGGTTTATTCTGAGATAGAGAGCAGGCGTGCTAACGAGAGAAAGAATGCGTCCTTTCACGCCAGTTACCTCAGGTCAGAAAACAAAACATAGCTGTGATGTCATACAGTGTGCAGTAAAAAAGTCATGCAAGCCACGTATGTCTTACAAAAGAGGAGACACAAGTCCAATAGGTATGGTTAATATAGATGTGGATAATGTACATTGTGTACATACATGTTTTATAAATCAATGGCACTTCACGTATCCACACTACCATCACTTGTAAGCACTGATGAGCACTCTACAGTTGGTGGTGGGCAAGATGCAACTGAAATCAGTCTAGCGACTTCCGTGACATATTCTACTGTCATATGGCTACTGCAAAGCTGCAATAAAATTTAGAGATAATTGCAAAACTTTGTATTTTAATGTGTACAAGATTACATAATACCAGAGCTGATCGCCGGCAGCCGCGAAACGGAAGGAAACGGTTGTGCAAGAGGTTGATAATGTCACCTGTATTACTCACTGGCCAAATGTCATTCAAGTGCTACACTCAAGGAGCATGCCTGTTTCTGCTTTTAGTATTGGTGATCAAATGAAAAGTATCAAAATTACTAGTCCTGCTTTGATATACAAGTACATATTCAGATATTGTGAAAATGAAATTTTCACATGACAAGATGTGAGCAGGAGCTGGAGGAATGATGTAGGTGACGCTATCAATCTCGCGTGTGCTCCACGACGCCTGTCAAACCTTGTATTCCATGGATTTTGATGTTTGCGAGGCCTCCACTCAACCTGTTGGACGCCATACGTAACTGTTTGACAGTTAACTGCAATGTTACGTTTCTAGGCATCATAGCACCATGGTTAAGGAATACCCTTGAAGTGTGAAGCATGGAATGTTTTTATAATAAGTGACTAATTTTACAGAACACACTTCTTCCATATCACTTATAGAATTATATTACCAAGGCAGAGCCTACTAAAGCAGGAGAAATTGGTCGGATATATTTCTGTGATAATCAAGAATTGCTATCCAGTCCATTTGTCTTTGAGCTCCTGCATTTAACCAAGCAAATTTTTTACCAAGGTGAGTTATGTTGAACTCGAATGTGTATTTATCATTCAGATGCATCTGTTTGATGCCGGCATGTTCACGCAAGATGCCGCATATGTAAACATCGTCTACCCATAAGAAAGGGGCCACCTTAGACGCTTCCAGGAGACGGGGAATTTGCTTGGTCTGTAGAATCCACATGCCTCCCGCGCAATAATATGGGTATTCCAATGCAGGGTATTCTGCCACGTCTACGCTCCACTTGCCTTTCCTTAAAACCGGACTAGTCCCAGAGTGACACAGGAATTTTTCGGTTGAGTTGGCATCTACACTCTGCAGCACCTTGGCCAAGGCGAACACATCGATGAGAATGTCGTCATCAGCGTGCAAAGTCCAAGGCACCTGCATACAGCGCAGCATAACCCAATTGAGAGACGCTAAGGCCTTGTATACAAGAAGTCTGTACTCGTCCTTGTAGTCAATCTGATGAGTAGAGCACAAATGACATGATTAGTTTCATATTCTCTGATCGTAAAATAATCGCTTAATAACTATAAAGCTATAAAACTCCCATGATTTATTTATGCAGAGCGATTTTTAGGTTTTATTAGAGAAGGGAAAAACATTAGAACTAAAGCACAGTGTGGCATACAACTGTTGTTGGTTTTATTCATACACAATAATATATACATTATCAAACAATATTACGTCCTGGAAATGACATTAAAGACAGGAAAACAATGTCCTAATTTAGCTAATGCTGGAAACACTGAACTTGTAAACACTAAGCAGTAGTTATTCATGAAATGATACAACTTATTTTCTTATTAATAATCAATGCGATATACATGCTGTAACTGCAGATAAGAAAGCTCATAAAAAAGTTACATTTGTTCAAGAAAAATAGATACATCATACTGTAGAGTTACGTATTTTTGTTACAGGAACGCGCCCTGGATTCATGGATTAGCTTATGCGAACGGGTGGTTGTGTTGCCCACTTAGGGTGTTCACTTTTATTTTTAATGCCTTCTCTGACGACCTTTTGGCAAGCCCTTGCCCTTTTTCTAAACACCCCACCTCCAGAAGTATAGTTAATAAGTTTTGGGTCTGATAGGAGCTTGTTTAACCCACACTCAAATCTCTTACAATTTGGATACTTGGCAACCCCTGCCATGACGCGCCATGGAGTCACCACAGAGGGCAGTTGGCGGGTAACCTTGACTGTGGAGAGGTATGAGTGTGGCTGGGGAGGACTTTTAACTTGATCTTTGATATTTTCGTGTATTGTGCCTCACTGTGATGTTTTATTATGTACGGCGACCCTGTTGCCAGTGATTTCCCGTGCTTTCTGTGATCGAGGCTGTAGTAGCATAGTGCTCACTAAATAAAGCTGTACACATGAACAGCTGTGTTTACTCACTCCCGTAGGTGGTAGTCAGACCGGCTTTTCCCACATCTTATTCACGGTTTGAGGATTACTCATCAGCTCCTGTAGCAGGGTGAGTGTCGATGCCCCCACCCTTTAACCACACTACAGTACATTTCAACATAGTTACCATGTCTTATCATAATAAATGTCTCAATTGACGCTTTTTTGTAAAGGCCTTTTTTCCGGTGCCAAGAAACTGTATAACTACACTAGAAAGTATCGTTTTTTTCATTTGCGACTTCTGGCCGATTGCGACAGCAACGCTGCCGAAGCTTCTACGCTGTGCCACAGTTGCGGCTCCACCCCCATTCCTAGGAATTAGACTCGAGTTGACGAATCTGATTTTGTTTTTGAATTGTATGAATTAACAAATCACTGGTTTACTGATGTAACATTAGGAAATAACAATAAATACAAGTTATTAGTTATCAACATCAGATTACAAATCAAACGACGGAAAACTATCGAAATCAGTTGAAAATCCGCGGGCCCTCAGCGCCTCCCATCATACTTCTTCATTCGTCCATCGACACTGGTTTCGAAGGTCACACTTCTTTAAATATTTTGAAAATGACACAATTTATCGATTGATATCAACTACATTCAAAAGGATATAAGTTTACGTCTACATATTCAATTATACATACATAATGGTAATTGTTGTAGAGAGCGACGCACCCTCCCAGAGACTAAGGCGAAAAAAAATGATGTTTTTCTGCATGAAATCCTATGATTTCATCGATTTTCGGCGTTGTTTCTTCTGCGAATGAATCGTACAGGAGATCGAGTACCATTTCTCCATCGGGGTAAAACAAGCTTAAATAAGAAGAATATCGATCAAAAATGCGTAAAACTAGCACAAAAAACGCTTAAAATCGGTCAATGAAACTCTACAGATGTAACCACCATCTTTGAAATTTTACGGGCCGACGCACCAGAAATCAAAAACTCTACGGGAACCCAACCCACACTTCGACAAAACTCTATGGGAATTCATACGTTCCAATCCCTCCAAAAAACCTACTGACTAATAAACCAACCTAAAATATTAATATAAATTGCCGTGACCAGGCGTGCCCTTCGAGCACTGCCCGAGGGGAGGGTTGATGGGGGGCAAGCCCCCCAACGCCCCCAGGATACATTCTCTCCACCACGGTATGTACGGCAAGACAGAGCTGCATTCACACCATAAAATATTAAACCAAATACCTTTATATCCGGAAACTGAAACTTTCATTTCTTTGTACTGTTGGGATTGCTTCGATTTTAATCACCTTTTTCGTCATTTGGAGCTCTTGAAGGTCTCAGATATAAAACTGGAATGGTTACCAAAGTAATTATTCTTTCATTCCACTCTAAAAGTCTTAAAAAGTACCCATAATCAACACAACACTGGAAGCTCAACATTTCTCTCTGGCTTTCAATCTCGAAATGAGCGGTATGGTGAGCTGTCAGCTTTCAATCTCGAAATGAGCGGTATGGTGAGCTGTCAACCTGTAGCTGGCGCAAGAAAGTGTGAAACACTCGATACGCAGGATTCTATATAAGGGTATAGATAAATATAAAAATATGCAAATGAAGTATAATAACATTACTAAAAGACAAATGCGTACCAGCAGACACAGATAATTAGCCATATATAGTTTTGACAAGCGCGTAATGATACACGGATTAGTTCGCGGATGCAAAAATGCGTTCGTGGGTCAGTGTTGTGTTTTTCCTCGCAAGGTAAATAAGCTCATCGACTTTGAATTTGAAAGGCGGCCGCGCGTTATATTTTCGTCAATTAACGGTGACTATAAGGCCGGCGCATCTTAAACTATATGCTATCCCCTTCTACTTTTCCCGCTCTAAAAGATAGCGGTGTCCATTTCCCTCTATCTATGCGCGTCCGTCTCTGTAACCTCTACCCATAAATGATACAAGAAAAACAGTAACAAGCCTTACATGACATATCGCAGAAAAATTAATACGAAAGCATATAAAGCTTAAACTCTATTTTGTTATATATGGTAGTATTGTATATTTTTAATATTATATTTCTGCATGTATGTGTATATATACATAAACATCCATAAATGCATATAGATGGGTATGTATATGTGTAATATATATATATATATATATATATATATATATATATATATATATATATATATATATATATATATGCATGTGTGTATACAAATGTGTTTAAATATTTATATGTATGTGTGTGTATACTGTATATATAGGTATGTATGTATGTACACATTTCTGTATGTATATATATATATATATATATATATATATATATATATATATATATGTGTGTGTGTGTGTGTGTGTGTGTGTGTGTGTGTGTGTGTGTGTGTGTGTTTAATTTATTTGAACAGGGGAATATATTTTAGTTTTCCTTTAAAGACATTTTCATTTTCATCAGACTATCTGTAGTCACAAAAAATTATAAAGACATAGTCTATAGGAAAAAGAAAAATTACAGACATTTCCATCCGTCGGTCGTCTATTGTTTCTGTTTAGAATTCCAGCCCTGCATGTAAATCCACCAAAGTCTGTCTTTAATAGAAGTGACTATTGATTCTACTTTGGAATTAGTTGCTTACAAAGTAAAAATCAACAGCATGTATTTGGCTATATGTTGAATTTACTTCAGGATAGTCTGCCACAAAACAAATTTACTTATGGGGATTTCAATGCTCATAATACTGTATTGGGTTCCCTGGTGAATGATAGAGTTGAGCAAATAGTTAAGCTTGTTACCGATTTAGATTAGTCCTTTTGAATGGTGGTAGTCCGATGCATGCGGACGATAATCCCCGGTAATTTTAGCTTTCTTGACCTATCTTTGGTCTTCAACAGTAGCAGCCAAGTTCCTGTGGCACACCATTGATGATTTGTTGGGAAGCAATAACTTTCCTATTTGGATTAATTTAAATATTCATGCGACACAATGATAACGCCTTCAGCACCTAAATTTAATTTAAAGAGAGCAGACTGGATGGGCTTCTCAAGGAGCGTCAAGCTCGAACTTGTTGGAGAAACCATTGATGGTAAAGTAAACAATGTTTAAAATTCCATGGAGCAATGATATTCATTCCCAAGACTTCAACAGATAGCATTAGGCACAGAGTTCGATGATGGGCACCAGATTGCCAGAGGGAACTGTGTGAACACAATAAGGCTTGCAGGCTTTTAAAAAAATAACCTAATATCGAGAACTTTTGCAACAAGCTACCAAGAACTAGGACTTACAGAACAATCAGCCATAAAAATTATTGAAACTATCCTGGTATGAACTAATATGAAATGAACGAACGTCATCACAGCAGTAATTTCATCTAGTGTCACTTCAGCTGGGTCTTCTGGGCATCACAAACACAGAGCCAAAGTCCCATAGAGTGACTTTAGGCCTTTAGCCTTGCAACATACATATTCTTTTAAAATGAATCAGATTTAGAGGTCCAATGTCGCATATCTTAAGTTATACATCTAATACATTTTCTATAAAGAATTGCGGGTGTATTCTATGCTGTTTAATGTTGTTATATTATTGGTTTAATAATGTATATATTGTTCATTGTTTTAGGCAGTGCAATGAACAAGACAGTAATGCAGGGAGTCCTATAATCATCAGAATCTGACTTTACGCACTGTAACTGTAATCTAATAATCATCTGCTTATGATAACGTATGGATCAATTTCAATATTTATATCCGTTTTCTTTATCATCTAATATTTAGAAAATTGCAGAAATACTGCTCCAAAAGAGCTGCCAGCCCTGTGTACATGGCAACTCCGCTTCCACCCCTACCCTCTCGATCCGTTTGACAAATGGTAGTTCCTCAGCAAAACTACATCAGAAGCAAAATTCGTTAAGAGCTTACTTTCTGTGCAGAAGTGGAGTAAGCCTTTAAGGACTCTCCTCGTTCTCACAGATGTTCTGGGTGGTTCAGTGAAAAACAATTTTGTGTTGTATTGTCATGGTCGCGGCTCTCGCCAATGTACGAGTCTCCCCTAAAGACTTTAAAAGATAGTAAATGCCAAGAGAAGGTAGCATAAACTCTCCCCAAGAGCTCGCTCACGGAAGCAGCAGTCCTACAGGGAGCAAAGTGAATATATATATATATATATATATATATATATATATATATATATATATATATATATATATATATCCCTGGAAGCCTGCAGTCACTGGTTTAGCTTTTCCACTCGTGTATCACTCGCATTATGGATGTCTTTATGCCCAAACCTAAACGGAAACCAAAACAGCAATAAATAAAAAGTCATGTGACACAGGAGTGACCTTGGTGTCTAAGACCTTGTTTTTGCGCGGCATCATTGCTTCTGTGATAACGTAAATTACGTAAATTTATCCCTTTGTGGATTTATGTTGCATTGTGTTTTCCCTGCACCTTAAGTGCTCTTGATTTTGCAGCAGACACGAGACTAGAGTAGTTGTAGTCAACACCCACATCAAACCTGCAGCCCTTGCGGGCATTGAGGCCCAGTAGTCTGGGGCGTCATTTGGCGCACTTTTTCTTGTTCTAAATTCCTTCCCTTTCTTAATGTGACTGCCATACTCTCTCTTAGTTATTACTGATAGGTTGATAACAATATTTAAGGGTTTACTTGTCCCTTCAAGACAACGTCACTCTTCCTTGACCCATGACTCTTCTAAGACCAAATCGACTATGAACAACGGAACCCCTACCAATGCAAGGTATTTGCCTGTAAGATGCGT